GGCAGATCCTTCCAATAAATAGAATCTACTTCCCTACCTTTATGTTCAAGGCTTGCATGCACTTCTCTTACTTGTCACAAAGGCTGGTCACGTGACACACTTTGGTCAGAGGAGTGTGGCAGAAGTGACAGCACATCAGTTCTGAGCCTGTACCTTAAGATAATTTCCCTGTCAACTTTTACTCTTTTTCTTGGAATCACAAAGACTGCCACCTGAACAAACTGAAGCTAGTATGCTGGAGCATAAGGTTATGTGGAATAGAGCTGAGTCAATGGTTTCATCCTGACCAAATTCACAGATGTACTAACAAGCTTATCTCTGATTAGCAAAGCCTATCTGTCGCTGATACTGTCGCTGACCTGTAAAATTAAGTAAAACTCTCCTAGACTATCCATCTCTCAGGTGACCTAAAGATTTGCAAAACAAGTAAATTAACCTGTTTTAAGCCATAGTGTATTTTGAATATTATATTATGCCAGAATCTATCTACCAGATATAAAGCGAGTACTATTAATGAAAGCAAAGTTTTTTATTTATTAATTTTTATGCTTGTTATTATTGGAGTCCCCATTATCTAAAAGAGTGATTGGAATGTGTGTATGCACAAACCTATTTCTAATAAATGGATAATTATAAGGTTCTTTTAAAACATAAGTAAATACATATACTTGTGTTACAAAAGACATAATAAATAATAAGTGCCAGTGCCCTTATATGTCTATTTCTCCAATGCTTTTTAGAAAACTTTGCATAACCCAGTACTTGGAACATAAAAGCATTGCAAATATGAGCATTGTATGAGAGCATTGTAAATATGTCCTGTTTTAATAAATGATTTTACAATACTGGAAAGTTAGTGAATCATAACTAACTTATTAATGGAATCTCTTACTTTTGCATATCATATTGAGTTAGATTATCTTACTCCTCTTCATACAGATGATAAACATGAGAAGACGGTAAAATTTTAGGCAGTGATGCTGTTATTTAAGCCCAAATGTGGCTGATGTTATGGCTTAGTCTTTTCCTATTTGATAGAACTTGTCAAGTAATCTGATACTCAAAGTGTAACTGACAGAATGGTTTCAGAGACCTCTCAAAATGTCAATATCTGGCATATTTTCATCACTTTGCACAGCTAGAAACAATGCAATCATGGATTACTGACAGATGAAAATTATTATTATTTTAAAATTGACATCCCCAATGTGTTTATCATTTGAACTTCATCACTGCATATGTTATCAGTGGTAAATCTGTAGTAGTCAAAATATTCAGTGACAGAGTAATTCACCTATCTGGTGTTTATATATACATGTATGCAGAGCAGATTATTTAATATATATATTCTTTTTTTTCTTTTTTTTCTTTCAAACTTTTATTTTATTTAATATATATATATATTCTTATAGTCCTTCTAATAATAATGTGCACATGTGCAGATAAGCCTAGAAAAAAATTAACTCTCAAATCAAGGAAACACGCAAAAGCAATGATGAATTGTTAAATGGGATTTAACTTTGAAAATTAATAGATTAGCTTAGATAAATGTATCAATTATTTACTTGTTCTGATATGATTCAGATACGGCAGTAGAGACAGGATGGCTATGTTGTGGAGAAAAAAATGCAATACCAAATGAATAAAGTATACTTCTTAATTACAAGCATGCTCAGTCTTCTAAGGGTTTTCTAAGCTTTTCGGATTCCTTTGGTCTCTGTAACATCTATTTATGAACAAACTTACATTGGCTGGATATAGAAAATCAAGTACAGGAAATTAAATGCTTCCCACCAGGAGGTGATAATGCTCACACTCAATGGCAAAAGTAAGTCATTTGGTTGTGAGCTAATTTAAATAGAAAAAGAAAGTTCAAACCTTCCTCTGTGAGGAAAGGGAGGAGAAAATTAAACATAGATTAGCCTCAGTGACATTTTATCATATTGTATTTTAGCAATTATGTTACATATTTAAACTTTTGGGAATGGGCTTCTTGAAGAATGTGTTTTTGAAAATGAATTCTGCCATCGATAATGGCTAAAATGACTAGATAGTACGATTTACTCAAAATGTACACATCTTGAAAGCTTTATCACTTTAAACACAGAAGCTAAAGCTGAGTAATAAAATTTTATAAGAAAATTATATTTTCACCTGATTCTATATTGATTTATGATGGTATTAATTTAAAATTTAGTGTTTAAATATGACTATTAATAATCCTTGACATTCAAAAAAATGAATGTCTTTTTTCACAATTATAACGAATCTGTATTTCTCTGAAAATACCAGGGGATTCCAATTCAATCCCATCAAAGTGGAAGGTACCAATGCCATCTAACTAGTCCCAGTGATCAATTTCTGTTCACAATTGATCATAATGATAGGACTAAGAACCAAAGGGATCACATAAACAAAAATAGTGTCTGCAAATACTAGCTGATAGAATAAAAAAGGGAGAGAATGATCCAACATGGGAAGTGAGATACACAGCAGACCCATAGAATGGCAGATGTCCTAAACAGCACTCTGGCCTCAGAATCAGCCCTTAAGGCACGCAGATCTGGCTGAAAAGCCCATGAGAGTATTACAGGCATGGAAAGCCAAGACACTGTGGCAAAAAAAAAAAAAAAAAAAAAAAAAAAAAAAAAAAACCAACAACAACAACAACAACAAAAACACCTAAATGAAAGATCTCTGTGAGTGAGATCCCAGTGGAAAGAATGGGTCATCAAAGAAGGAGGTACCTTTCTCTGAAGGGAGGAGAGAACTTCCACTTTGACCATGGAATTGTCTAAATATGATCAGAGTCAGTGAACTCAAGGGGCTTCCATAGCCTTGGCAGCTCATGACAAGAGCCTAGGGTGATTACTGATGCCATAAACAAGAGTGTCAATTTGGTAAGTCAACAACAGGAGTCACTGTGCACTTACTCCTCATGTAGGATCTTTGTCCTTAGTGTGCTGTACATTGTGATTTAATGCTATAACTAGTACTCAAACAGTATTTTTCACTTTATGTTTCTGTGTGGGAGCAAACTGTTGAAATCTTTACTTAATGTATACTAAACTGATCTTCTGTATATAAAGAGAATCAAAAATGAACCTTGATGTGACTGGAAGGGGAGAGGGAGTGGGAAAGGGGAGGGTTGCGGGTGGGAGGGACGTTATGGGGGGAAAGCCATTTTAATCCATAAGCTGTACTTTGGAAATTTGTATTCATTAAATAAAAGTTAAAAAATGCAAAAAAAAAAAAAAAAAAGGCTTCCATAGCCTAGGCACCTCATGTCAAGAGCCTCAGGTGATCACTGATGTCGTAAATAAGAATGTTAATTGTTAAATCAACAACAGGGATCATTGTGCACTAACTTCCCATGCAGGACCTCTGTCCTCAAAGAGTTGTATTATGAGAGTTAATAGTAAAACTTGTTCTCAAGTATTTGCTTTGTTTTAACGTATTAAGTGGAGGATATTCTTATGTCTCATAAGTTATAGTTACGTCTAAGTGCTTGCAAAAAATGTATCATTCTTGGGTTGTTCTTTAAAGTTAATTAAGTTTCTCAAAAAAAGAAAAAAAGAATGCTAAAAAAAGTTAAGTCAACTTCAATATGTGATGACTTTGAACAGCCCTTGTCTTGACTGTTGTGGAACAGGTTTTTTTTCATACAATTTTTTGAACTCTTAGTATAGAGTTAAACTTCTGTGTATAAAGTTAATTGAAAATAGATCTCAGAAAAAAATAAGACTGGGAATAGGAGAGAGATGAGGAAGAGGGGTGAGAATATGGGAGGGAAGGCAAGTACAGTGAGAAGAATCACTATGTTCCTAAAGTTGTATTTATGAAATGTATGAAGTTTGTATTCCTTAAATAAAGGGTTTCTTTAGGGAAAAAAAAGAGTTATAACAGTAAAAGCACTGTCCAAGATTTTCTTAGGAAAACATAATTATAATAAAGTTAAGACATCACTTTAAGAATGCTACCTTTTTAGAAGTAGTCAATAAGAATTTTAATCCAAATGATTTAATATTACTACAACCACCAACATATTGCAAAATGTGCTTATTTAATTAAGTGATAAGAAAATCATCCAGGATTGCCCTTGAAAGGTCTACAATTTTGAAAATAAGTAATTCATTATTACACATATGAATAGGAAATCATTTTTATTTGTTACATCATATAATTATGGACTTGAGTTGATATTTTAAAATATGTTACATGAATTTGTATTAACTAACTTGTAACCTGAGATGTGATAGTTTCATACTCTTAGTATAGAAAGCAGTCTCTACCACCACAGCTCACTGTTATGCATAAAGAATACAGTAAGATAAATTTTAGTATGATACTTTGATTAAATATTTTAAGAGGCAGAGAGACTGAAAGAGAGTCAGAGAAAGGAGAAGGAGAGAGAAAGAGAGAGAAACAGAAATTTCCCACCTACTGATTCATTTCCTAGTTGCTCACAACACCAGAGCTGGGCTTGGCCAAAGTCAGGAACTAGAATTCAGTCCAGGTGTCCAGGTGGATGGCAGAAATCCAATTACTTGGACCATAACCACTGCCTTCCACAGTCTGTATTAGGAGGAAACTGGAATCAAGAGTCAGAACAGGGCTATCTAATCTGGGTACTCGAATGTGGCATGTAGGCATCGTAACTACCAGGATGAACAGCTTCCTAAATCTCCTCCTTGTTGGAATATAGAAAAAAAATTGACTACATAGGGGAATAAATCTTCCTCCATTTATTTCAAATTCTTCAAATACTATGCTATTGACATTGGCGATTATCTTCTTTCTGTCTTAACACTTTAGAAATCTTTTCTAATTTACTGTGAACTACAAGTAATTTATGAAAAAATAAATAATATGGCTGTTTTAAGAACTGTCTTCTGATAAATATGAATCCCACATCTTATAAACCCTGCCTGCATTATTTAAAATTTTCAAGGCTCACCCACCAAATTGTGTTCAATCTGTTTTTATTCTTTGAGCTGAACAGAAAAATTAACAACAAAATTTGTACAAATAAAAGGAAAAATGGAAGAAAATATGCAGGCAAGATGAAAGAAAAAAATCATTGTAGAAACTGAACTTAACCTCTTATTGATGAAAACTTGTCCAGTTCTGCTACTGACTTTGAAGTGAGGATACAGTGGAGATGAGATCGGTTGAGCCTTAGGGACAGGAGCTGAATCCATGAACTTGGAGCTGAGGGAGGCATCCTTCCTATGTCTAATTTAAGCTGCCACTCAGAAGGTCCTCTTCCATCCTTAGCAGAGGATAAAATGCTGCCATAAAACAACATGGAAATTATTTCTGCTTAAGGAAACCTAAGTACTTAAAAAGTGACTTTTTTTTCATCAAAATGAACAATTATAATAGATTAGCTTTGTCTTATTACAAAAGAAAGTCATGCCATTTGTACAGTGGGAAATTCTGGTAAAGGAAGAGAAAATGAAACACCCAAGTATTCCCTTTCTCAGAACAAACATTGTTACCAACTTGGTAGAAATTACTGCAGATACATTTTTGTTCACATATCAGTATGTCCAAAACACTGTTTCTGCCAATAAAAGTTCTATGATATTTTAGTGGCTGCTGAGTACCACACCCTTCCAGTTCACCCTGCAAAATAAATAAATAAATAAATAAACTTTTCAATCAATAATGACAAGAAATTTTTTCTGTGTTCTATAGAATAAAATATGTCTACAGAGATTTAGTTAGAATTTAATTACATTTTCACTAAATTGGCTTTAAAACTTATTTGAAATTTTAAAACAATATCTGAGTATAATTAATACAAAGCATTTTAAAGCATGCATCAGATGTTAAAGCTTTACTTATAATTAATTTGCAGGAAAGATAACTCTTCTGTATATCTTTCAACATGTTTATATTTTCTAGGTATATTCTTCCAATATGGAGATTTTTAATCAGAAGATCACCTTATAAGCCACTGTATTCAGTTTAGTGAGGCTTGTGCATGTTAGAACAAATTGAGAGCCAACAAAAGGAATGAATTATTAATGTTATGAAATTTTCTGACAGGTGGTAAAAGCCCTTGGGTTTTAAAGATCAATGTACAGACACCCTTCAGATGTCAAAATCTTGTTCATATTGAAAACTTTCAAATGCTAGGGAAAATATGTATTAAAGAACAAAAAAATGACTTTGTTCTCACAACATTTCTTCTCTGGAGACTGAAATGTGGACAATATAATCTATATATTCTTATATAAATATTATTTGTATTTTGTATATTAAATGCATTTTAACTCAACTTCTATTTTTTCTTTTAAAATGCCTTTAACTATGATAAAAAGATATTACTAATAGAAAAATATACACTAAAATAACTTTTTAAAAATGAATTCCTTTTTCAAGACAGAATTAGTCTGGATGAGTTTCTTCATAAGAATTTTGTTTACATGGTTGAGATATTTGTGGAACAATCTCAGATTGTAAACAATTTTACAAACATTGCAACATCCCTTCATTCTTTTCTAATACAATATTATCCACTTTTCAGATGATTATTAGTTCAATGTAGTAGTAAAACCTGGAATTTTCACAACTTTTGATAAAAATTTGATAAAAAGTTTGATAAAACATTTGAATAAATAATTTTTAAGAAACTAGCATTCTGTAATCTTTTAAACCAATCTTGAATGCATTATTGCTCCTCCTAACAGCTTAATTTTAGATATAATTATCTCTACTTATCCCAAATAGTAACAATTCTGTGAATCATATTTAATGTATTTTTTTTTCTTATTTAACCAGCAGAGCATCTCAGTGACAGGATTACTATTAGTTTCACCTTTATTTTGTTTACTTTTATTAGCTCTCTTCATTCCTAGATGAGAACACTGAGGCACAAAAGAAGCTATGAAACTTAACCATGTACACAGCTAGTTTTCTGTCCTACTTGTCGAAGTTGGCTGGGAAAGGTATTGTTCTTCTGAGTAGTATTCTTCACATGGAGTTTTCAATAACTACCACAATTTTCAAAAACGTTTGCCTTATTTCATCTCTGTTTATCATATTCATTCCTTCCTCCCTTTCCTTCTGTAAGAATTTATTTTCATATGGGTAAGTCTGAGTTTGATACTAGTAGGACTCAGTACCCCAATGGACAGAATACTTTTAAGTGTTTATAATATTCAACAAACATTATGGTTTTGAGTTGTGCTCATGTTTTTTGGTTGTAAAATTCTGAGAACAACGTTTGATGCATGTCAATAACTATGCCTTTCTGAGTCAGGAAGAAATTATACAATCCAATGTATTGCTTCATATATTTTAATTTTGCTTTATAACTAAGGAGGCGCTTGTCTAGTCTAGTGGTTATGATAATGGTTAATATTCTTGCTTGCCACGTTGGATTACCTGTGTCAATAACCAGCTCCAGTTCCCGCCTCCAAGGTCCTGCTAATGCAAGCCTTGGGAGGCAGCAGGTGATGATTCAATTAATTTTGTTTCTGCTGCACACATTGGTGATGGGCACTCATCTTGGCTCCTGGCACAGAATGCTCCTGGCCACTGCAGATGCTTGAGGAATGAACCAGTGGTAGGATGCTCTCTCTGTCTCTCACTACTCACAGTTTCACTTTCTTCCTCTTTCCCTCCCTCTCTCTCTAATAAATAAATGCAATCAAAAATTTTAAATATTAAACTCGATATCCAAAACAAGTGAATGAGAGAAAAGTGTACTAATACATCTTCATCCATGGCATTGGATATTTTTAAATGTTTATTCCTCACTTTTTAGACTACTCATACAGAAATACATGAATGTCCATCTTCCAAAGTTATCATCATAAGATATTGTCAACATATTTTGGGAACATGAATCTAAGTATGTCACCTTGTTCCTTGCTATGAAGTCTTGAGGCATGATGGTGGCATTCTAGTTAGGACAGCTATACTTACATCTTTTATGCAGTAATCAGTGATCAGTATTCCTGCAAAGCTGTTGTGAATTCAGACTCTTTTTGATGAAACTCTCACTATTTCTAGACTCTGGTCTGATGAAGTCAAGATATCAAGTTTTGTCAAACTGCTGAGATATTTAGAAACTCAGCAATTGGATTCACTAAATAATCCTTTACAATAGCAACAAGACTCCTAGGACATTTTCTTTTTAAAATAGCTTTAGGTGAATCATCTGATGGAGCTTGACCTCTTGTCTTCCTGTGCCAGCTAAGACAGATTCTTAATTTAAAAATACCTGGGGAGCAAAACCAGGAGCATCTGGAAGGGAAGGCTTTGTAGCATCTGGAGTGATGAGAGCTTTTGATCCCCATTTCCCTGTAGGTCCCTGACTTGGCAATTACATTTGAAGGACTTCTGTACTGAATAATAGTTCCAGTCAAGGTGATATAATCACAGCTGGGGAGAAAAAAAACAAAAATCAACAACCTTGAAATGGAGACTCTACTTATCCTTGTTACATAGCACAATGAAATATATGTTATTCTTGATTTACTCCTTTAGTTAATGCTTTGATTCTTATTAGGTATTTCAAGAATAATCCTCGTGTGATATATATTCAGATTTTATAACAACTACAGAGTAAAAAATATACTCTCTAAATAATATATCCTATTAATATACTTTTTGATGTTTTCATCAATGGCTTAGGTTGGCCATTCTTTGAGTTCTTAAATTTTATTGTTTTAATTTTGCAAACAGAAGGATTTATATGTTTTAGGTAGTAAGGAACAAGGACAGGAATAAAACAGAGAAAGATAATGGGACACCCCCTTGACTTGCATCCTTCGGTCTGCTTTAATATAAACCAGGAGGAAAAGAAAACTAGACATCAGAAGCAATGTAAAGATAGGTGGCAGGCCAATTAAAAAATGGCTGCTCTGTATAGTGATCTGCCCTCAAAGAGACCCAACAGGTCAGTCCACTGCAGTGGCTTTCAATGTGGTAAGCTTGGGCTTCAGCAGAAATCAGCTTATGAACAGCCCTGGCAGCTTTGCCAGCCAAGAGTTGGATCACTGGAAATGGAACTGCCCTGGAGACGAAGGACATCCAGGTCAGAACCACAGATTTTCTGGCTCCAAACTGAAAAGCTCTTCACTTGGCCTAGCTTCTAAGGTGACTACTGCTGATGAGGGGACAGCCAAGTAGGGTCAGTAACATTTCAGGCAGAACTGTAACTTTCTTGTTAGAGATGTCACCTGCCTTTACCTGGCCAGCTCTCCTACCAAGCCAGGTAGCTAATGGAAGTCAACAGGGTGCCTTCTCAAGGAGGTTCACACCTCCCTTGGGATGTACCCCATGTGAAGAGATAGATAAGTCTGGGCCTCATAACTTATAAGCCATTAAAGCCTACCTGATTATTATCAAGCCCCTTCTGTCAGTTTCTATTTTCCTCTCAATTGGAAAATTTATTCATGGCTTAGATGGCACCTTTCTTAGATCCTCTAGTAATGTCTGTCCTTTGTTCTAGACCTTGTCAATGTTGTAGGATTGTTCAGGATTTTCTCCATAGACAAATCCCTCTACCCACAAAAGATAAGTGGCTTTTCTCCCAGTCTTGGCTGGGATCAGCTTAAACCATTTCCATTAAACTGTCCTCACAAGGGTCCAGAGACCCCCCTCATTTCCTCTCCTCTATTAAATCCTCTCATTACCTGATTAATGCCACTCTTAGGATCATTGGTTGCTATTCTCACCCTGTCTTTTATACTATTGTGTCTGCTTTAGTGTTTACAGGAATTAATAATTGAACAAACCAAGGTCTTCAACAATCAGGAGGTCAACCAAATGCAGCAGGGATATTGGCTCCCCACTCAGGAGACATTGGCTTGAGACATTGCCCCATGCCAGAGAAGAGTACCTCATTGCCCCATGTCATTAGGAAGTAGCTCTAAAGACAGATCATCATCCCTCTACCCCTCTTGGACTTTTGGGACTAATGTAATCCCATACAACTCCTGCTTTATAAAAAACAAAAGAGAGGAATGTTAGCAAAATGGCACAGTCTTATCTATGGCACAATCTACACCCTGACACCATCCTAGGCTCTAGCCCCTGCCACCATTCCTGGAAGCCAGGTAGCCACATGGTCCAACCACCTGTGTCAGCCCCACCCCCATCCTTATGGGATTCACTACTCCTACTTTCCTACCCACCCTGTGGCCAAGTTTTAAAAGGACCTGTTCCTGAACACATGGCTCTCTCTCTTTCTCTCCATCTCTTGATTTCTGTCTCTGTCTCTCTCTCTCTCTCTCCCTCTTTCTCTCCCATCTCCTGACCGCTGTCTCTGTCTCTGTCTCTCTTATGCTCTCCTTCTCCCATGCTCTCCTTCTCCCACATTTCCTTCTTCCCCCTTCCCTCCAGTCTGTTGGATTTCCCCCAATATTCTCTTTTTCTTAAAGAAAAAAGAAAGATAATGGTAAATGCATCAAGTTTCTAGGGCTGACTTTATTGAGGAGGGGATATTTGTACAATAAACTAAAATAAGTGACGTGGTTAGGCAAGTGTCTGGAAAAGAGACTTTTCAGATGGAGGAAGAAGTAAATACAAAGGACCTCAGGCAGGAGTGTGTTTCATGCTTTTGAGAAATATTCTGGTTAATTTAACTGAGCAGAATAAGCAAGTTGCAGAACAAGATGCAGAACAAATGAAAGAATAGAGTGTTCTGGAACACTGTACGAAGTTTGACTTTTACAGGAAAAGAAGGATTTGGGGCATAGCAGTTAAGACACCACTTGACAATTTCACATTCTCTTTTGGAGTGACTGCATTCAAGTTCTGAATAGTGCCCAACTCTAGTTTTCTGATAATGGACACCCTAGGAGGCAGTAAATGATGGTTCCAGTAATTAGGTCTCTGCTACTGACTGGAATACAGATATAGTCCTCTATATATCTCAGAGGGTCAACTCAGGTGACTGGAATTCAGCTCCAACAGTTCAATCCCTAGAACTTCAGGACTCAGAGATCACCTTATTTACATCTCAAAGGCCAATCACAGATTTTCTCAGAAATTGTACACTAGCAGGTGCATGTGTAAATTGTTGGAATGTAGATCGGGTCTTCTCTAGGCCCCTTGAGTAAGCACAGATATCCACACAGGCATCATAGGATCAGAGCTGCAGAATATAGTGGGGTCCTTATTCAGTCCTCAGGATGAACTCCAGTGACCCCGTGAAATATAGCTTCAGAATTTACAGTCCGAGAGATGTAATATTCAGAGTATAACTTACCCAAGTTCCACATGGTGGTTGCATAATTTACTGAGTATTGTACATTAACAAGTACAGGTATGGAGCCAAGTAACACAAATAAGGCCTTTCCCAGATCCCATGAGGGCAGCACAGGTATCTCTGAGACTTACAGAACTTAGATCACTTCCTCAGAGTTGGAGGACTCAGTGAGGTTCTTAGCCAGGTCTCACATGCTCATTCAGTGTGTGCTGAGGATTCGATACTGGCAGCCACCAGTTCGAAGCAGAAGAATGTATATTAGACCCTCCAGATGCAACCAGTGAATATAAGTTTCACTAGTGATTTTGGCATAAACAGCTACAATCTTGGAGCTGAAAAACACATGAAGAAACGCCTCACAGTTTCCACAGGTCATGAATGGGTGATTCTGGGACTTGTGCTCTATCAAGCACCTTGTACTAAGAGTTGGACAAGGGGATTTCCTCAGGTCTGCTCATCTCATATTGGTTGCTTCTGGCACCAGGCCCCCAGAAACTGAGGGTGATTTCTGTAGATCACACAGAGTGAGCCAGTGTAGATTCCAGGTGTGTAGGGTGTAGAGATACCTGCCCTGTGCCACAGGAAGTATCTGGCTCTGGGGCTTTGGGTAGCAATGGGGCTTGTAGTTCCCTAAGACAAAACAGAGTTTGGCAGTAGTTTCAGCCCAGCATCTCCTTCTGGTATTTGGGGGGTAGGGAGAGGCAACATAGCTTCCTTTTTGGAGCAATGAAGTCACTTGAAATGCAGTCAGGTTTCTATACTGGAATAAAAAGTCCTGTTCTTAAGAGTTTCAAGGTCTTTTGAATGAATTGTGTCGTATAAAAAAGGTGTATTTTGGCTGAAGGGTCAAAAGGCTGAAGTAGTTCATAATACCTATAATCTTGAATCATTATGTCAACCAAGGAATTTGAGTCAGTAGAATTTGTTATATTTTCATGGAGAAATGTCAGGAAGGATTGATGCATGTACCTCTCTAAGGGTAGAAAAAGGACCAGGTGATAGACACTAGAACTGTCGTCCTTCATTATAACATTGGCTTTAGTCTGGCTTCTCTTTATGGTCTCAGGAAGTGACTGAAAATCCAGACACTGCATATTCCCTTGTCCATCTCAAAGGGATAGAGGAACTGGACAAATATGTAAGGCTGATGAAAGCAAAAACAATCATATCCAAAGACACACCTAATTGCCCTAATTTTGGTCACACACCAATACCCAAAATAATAACTATGAGACTGCACATATTTGAGAAAGTTAGTTCCAAAGTTCATAGGATGCTAAATGGGATATTTTAGAGAAAATTATAATGATTAAAAAAGAAAACTTCAAAAAGTACAAAATTGGGTCATCTTCGTAATTCTTATATATTTATGCATCTAAACATTTCACTTTATGTTACTTGTTAAAATTACATAGTCTCAATAAAATCTTCAATTTTTAAAAAAGAAATAAAGCGTCTACAATTTCCATTTCTCTGAGAAATTAAATGACTAAATTTTAATGGGCACATTAATGAGGAACTTTTCCTGGAACTAACCCTTCATATGTATTAATGAGGAACTTATCCAGAAATATCTACAGATGAAACATTACAGATGTTTCTTATTACTTTTCTTTACAAAGATGTGTTTTTGTTTTACTGAGATACACAGTAAAGCTTCTATTTTACATTGCCGTACAATTATCTAAGTATGTATACATTTTAAATGAAATAATCATAAAAACACTGTGATTTACATATATGTTGTTTATATTCCAATCATTATTTTATTTCTAGTTTATAATCTAATTAGTTACTTTAATAATATGCTAGTGGATATTCACTTGCTATTTTGTAAAAAAAAAATCTGTACTGGAGGACTGACATAAATTTGCATGTATGCTTCAACAACAAGTACTCCCCATTTTGACAGTAGTTTCAAATTTCAATTTTTTTGTGACATAATGTACTTGTCTCAATGTCAGATATTACAGCTATGACTTTGAGAGACCATCCTGAAGAAGAGTTCTCAAGGTATGCTTGTGCCAACTCAATTTTTCCACCACTGCGTTCTGCAGATCTCAAGAAAAAACTATAGAACGTGCTTTAAGTTCAAAATATTCTGAAATAAGAGGGAGTTTGCCAAAAAAAGTCCAGCCTGTGTTCTAATCATCTGTAAAAATAGGATGTCCTTTAGCACTTTCTTTCTTTGTTTAGCTTTTTTCCCTGAATTGTCTTAAACTTTTGAAACAGAAATTAT